AGGCTTGTTGGATTACGTAAAAACAGCTGGGTAGTTCGGGGCGCATTGCCTTTTGCCAACCATCAAGAGACTGAAACGTGGAGATGCCAGGTTCCCATGGAGAGCGACGAGATGATAATCTCGATATCCTCCGCACCAAAGCCCATTGGGCCGAGGCAGCTCCAAGCTTCCCAGGTGCTAGCTAATAATCTGGTCCAGCAAATCATTGCGTGATTGGCCTTTAGTAATATTGGACTTTAATTTACGGCCCGGAATCAAGTGTAGAATGTGTTGGAACTAACTGGAAATTGGAACAGCGTCAGCCCAAGCTAAGGTGGGCAAGCCCGAACATCAATCACCACAATACACCACGCTGACTCATCAGCCCCCCTCTGTTAATATCTATTTAGGAGAGAAGTACAGATTTATATTATTAAAGTTTTTTTTTGAAAATATATTAAATAATATATATTTTTTATTTTGTAAAATATATTTTTAATATAGTACATCAAAACAATATAAAATATTAAAAAATAATTTAAAAAAATCAAATTTCAATAATAAATGGGTTGCTCGCTACCCAAACAGGGTCTACAAATTAATAACAAACCAAGGCTGATGGGCCATCCAAGGTCGCTATGATATTATCAAAGTAGTATTTAAGAACATGGTTGAAACTTGCTAAAAAATTTAATTTTTTAATTTAAAATTTTAAAAAATATTATTTTAATATATTTAAAAAATCCTTTAAATTACAACCATTACTGTAATCATAAATATTTTGATATATTTATGTTTGATATTACTTTTCAAATCAACTTAAGAAGTTTTTAATTTTTTTAAAAAAATTATAAATATAATTAGTTATAAATAACGTTCAATTTAAATAAAAAAAATGCATCAAAATTGAGTTCAATTCTTGATTTAATCAAAAGTTAAAATTTAACTTTTAACTTGTACTATATTCATTCTTTAAAAAAATTGTTTTCAATCATTTTTTTTTATATCAAACGCACCTTTCATTTAATTTATTTTTTATTCAGGTTATTTATGAAAACAACTCTTGAATTATCACTCAAAGTCAAAAGTTATAATTCAGAGATTATGTCAAACGAACTCATAAATCAAAAGGCATACAAAATGCATTGAATCATTTTTACTATATATATTTTTTATTTAAAATTATTTTCACAAATGTTGAACAAGTACTTTGCGGGCCTTCGTAACGAAAAGCACGATCAAACAGGTAGTCAAACGAATATCAAATGGTTACTGCGATCCCACAATTTTTGGAGAGACAGCCTTTTACCTTCCTTTCCGAGTCATGACAGCAAATCTTCTGTGATTGACTTGTTTCAAGGCTTTCAACAGACGATTAATACTCTGTGAACTATTTGCTTGTATAGCTTTAAATTTCTGTTTTTCCACCAGTAACTAACAGTGGATACTCCATGGATGAAAAATATATACAAAGACTAGAGAAAATTAAAGAAAATATTTATGTATTTACCTGGAAAATTCAAATCATCTTCTATGGGATCCATCCTAATTTCTTTTTCATCTTTGCATGTGCTTCACTCTTCAAAGTAGACCATTGATTGTCTATAATTAAGCACTCCCGGAATTATTATACATGCATATACGCTATATATATATATATATATAAAGAAAAAACTAAAATTGCTCAACCTTTCACTGTAGCAATCCACAATGAAAGGCTGAGCTATTTTTTTCTCTCTTTTTTTTTCGTTTCTTTTTTTTTTTTCATTTCTTAAGCTGTTTTTTTTAAGTAATTTTTTTTATTTTTTATTTTTTGATACCTTTAGCTTTTTTTTTTTCTTTCTTTGTTTTTTTTCTTTTGATAATTTTTTTTGTTTAATTTAATTTAAGCTATTTTTTAATTTTTTCTTTTTTGATGCCTTTAGCTTTTTTTTCTTTCTTTGTTTTTTTCTTTTAATAAATTTTTTTTTTTTAATTTAGTTTGTTAATATTAATTTTTTATTTTGGTAT